TACTGTAAGTTTAATATAACTGGTAATTTAATTTGACTTTAAACATTTTACATCACAAGAGTCTGACATGTTCGTTTCAACCTTTGTTTGAGCACTGAATCAGTTACGCGGCCCGAAACAAGCCGTCTAAAGAGCGGCAATGAAATGGACAATGTACCGGAAGGTCCAGACGGCGACGAGAAACCTAAAGGCAATGACCCATCCGAAGACTCAACCAAAAGAACCATCCATGTAGAAGCTTCATATAACTCACCAGAGAGACCTTCCAACGATGGCATTCTACTGCATGAGCTGAAGTCATTGCAAGATAGTCTGTGCAGCAATAGAGAACGACTCAAGAAACTGATCAGTACAGCAGCATGGTACACGACACAAAGAGAGCAGGTGGTACTCACAATTGCGTCCAATATGAAGGTCCAAAAACACGTGAAAGCATCTATCAAAGCTCATAAACAAGAAATGATCGACATGGTGAAGCTGATGTGCCAGTTTTGCTATGCTGTTACTGAACTGTACCAATCTCTGCCACTCAAAGTCAGAAATTATGCGGCGGACAGCTTACCACCTGAAATTTCCAGGGAAACTACAAACGCGTCCTCCGGCCATAGGGCAACTATGATGGCAAATATGTTAATGATGGCAGTTTGGCATTTTGTGCGTACAGTCGAAACGAAAGCGAGCAACAAACAAATGTCAAATATCGACCAAAAAATTGAGGTATCTGCCCTCGAAGCTGTGGTAAAGGCGAAAACTGAGATGCTGGAAACGTACGATGAAGAGATTAGAAGGACGGTAAAGAGAATGAATGAATTAGATACACTGTTGAAACGCGCATGTAGAAACATGGCTGATCTAACGTCTGACAGAATGAAAAAATCAGTGAACGATTCTTTGGAGAACATGACCAATGAGTGCTCCTCTGAGACATCTAAAGAAGTAGACAGAGAAAATAAATCAGAGCCAGTGACGGAAGGCACCTGGCTGGATAAAAGAATAGAGTATATCAGCAAACTGCTTCGCAGAATTCAGGAACAGAGCATCGGTCTTAAGAACGAGGAGCAGTTCACAACCAACACCTTGGTTTGTATCCATAAAGACATTGAAAGTTTGAAAAAGCTGCTTCGAAAAGAACACGAAAAGGCAAGGGCCTTCGCTGAAAAACACTCACTAGGCATTCATCTACAAATAATCGACAGGGACGTCGATATTTTGCGAACTCTATCGATTGTGCTTGGTGATTACAGGGAAATGCAACAAGCAATGGAAAACAGGCAACGCGAAGTGGAACTCCACAATGAGAACCTCAAGCAAGAGGTTAACAGAAGCGCTGAACGAATAGCGATTGTGAAGTACACCATCGACGAAGAGAACGAAAGACTGAAAAGGCTGAAAGAGCGCTCGAATAGTCAGCAAGCAAGTTTACTACAAGGAGTGGGAAAAACGACCGAGGAGTGGAAGCAATCTGAAGAAATCAACAGAAAGTATTTGACGAACATGGTGCAGCAGCTGAACCAGTTTCAGGAGAAATTCCACGCCTTTTGTGATTTAAAGACGGAAACCAATCGAAAGATACGCTGTCATCGAAAGAATGTCGACGAGCAGGAAGCCAGACTGAAGGACAGGTTGAAGGCTCTGCAGAAAGAACGGAAATTGCTAGAAGAATCACAGAAGGCTGTGCTGAAACAGTTCGAACAAGAAGAGGCGGAAGTGCGGCAACGGTTTGGAGAAATCTCGTGGCAGACCAGCGAAGCATTCCAGCAGTTCAAGGATGAAGAACTGCGACGGCTGCAACTACAGGCAAGACAACGGGCAATCGGACTGACCCAGTACGATGACGGCATTCAACGAACATGGGAGCTGGTTTCAGTTGAACATGTGAATAAACACCGAAAAGAAAAGTTGCGCGCGATCGAAGAAAACTTGAGAAAAAAGAAAGACTTGATTGCAGAGGTAAAATCACGAGTTACCGGAAAGCAGGACCAGTGCAAAAGAATTGACGAGGAACTTCGACAGCGAGAAAAGGAACTGAAAAAGTTGGAAGAAACACGGCTAGAGCTTGAGCAAGAAGTATCAAAGAAACAGGCAGTACTCGATACCATTCTGAACGACGTCGAAAAGAAAGCTGAACGCCGACGTCAGGAAGAATGTGAAATCCATGAATATGAAAGCCTGTCAGAAACTTTGAAATGGTATAAAAATGACCTTCAAGCAAAGATTACCCGTTTTAGGGAAAACAACTGGCAAAACAAACAACAAGTCATCGATCGCAGAGACGACGTACAACGTATGATAGAAAAGTTACAGACACTGCTTATCGAAAATCAGGTCCTTCTAAACAAAGCTTCTACTCTGAGTTGAAACGGGCGAAATTCTACTTGCGGAGGAGTGACAAATGTGCACTACCTTTTGATCCTACTAGTGTACCGTAGTTGTCTGACCAGGTGATGAATAAAAGCGAATAAAATTTTGGGTTGATGCAATATTTTATTTATTTAAGCCCTGTTTTAAGTTTATGCTTCAAAAATGATCAGCAGTTGCATCTTAGCAGGCACGTCTTGCAAATTTAGTTTCTATCTTGAATAGATGTACTTTTTTTCTGATTTGCTGCTTCAAGTAGGTTGTTGAAGTAATAGTGATTGGCATGACAATGAGCAAAGGTTCGCGTTTTGCCATTTAGACGTCTGGTGAGGCCAGACTGATTTTAAGTAAATACGCAGAGAATACAAAGACAGATCAGTTTCGATGACCACTTATCATTTTGGGTGGCGATACCAGCTGCGTCAGTGTCTTAGATTTGGCAGAATATAACTGACGCCTAAATCAGTTTCTTCAGATAATTGCCCCAGGCCATTCTTGGCCGTCCTGCAGGTCTTCGATTAGCTGGTTGAGAAAGTGGCAACTATTTCACCACGGTGCTAAAACTGTCGCAGCTATGACTTCTCAATCTTGAGAAGCAGCGGTTTCACGCAAAGATTATTTTGGATATCCGAACTGCGGAATCTATCGAGAGCGTGAATCTAGCAGTTCGTCTCAACGAATCTATTTCACTCGCTTGTGCACAGAAAAATATTACCGATCCAAAAGCGAAAAATAATACGAAAAATGCTTCTAACTGCTGGTCATACGCAATACCGTTCAATGGCGAGTCACAGATGAAAGTGGGTATTACGGAAAACAAGATATCCAAAAAATTTTGATACAGAGTCATCAACAGTAATTCATATCTGGACGCAGCTTCTGGCCGTTACCCTTATTTAAGTCTCCGACAAGTGAAAATTGAGACCAGTCCAAATTTTGTCGCTTTGCACCAATTATGTTAAAGCCATTGCAGATTTTGATACATGATTTGCAGACATAAGCCATCGAGAAACTTTTGTCCGATGTTGAGGCTTCCAGTGAAGCCTTCCAATAGTGGTCGCATAAGGGGTTCACTAGATAGGTTATTTAAGGTGGCAGGTAGCATAGGGCAGCTCTGAAGTACAACGGTGTTCCATGCGATATAACTTGATTTAACATGGCAGGAAATGATTCTTAATCAGTTTTTCCAGCAGCATGAAAAAATGGACTTTTGTTTGTGAGAGCAGATAGCTTAAGGCGTCCAAACTACCAACTTGCCTACCACTGCGTTTAAGTACCGACCAATAAACTGTAGCGAACCCTTTGAATTGTAGAAATGTCCAGCTGATAACAAACACAGATGCGCTGGTATTCCAGAGCTGCTGATTCGTCTATGGCCCATGAGAAGGAATGGACTCTCAGCGCTTAACGCTTGATGGCCAACTAGAACACGACCGGGAAGAAACCATCCAATCCTGGAGACTCGACCCTAGGTAATAGCAAGTACTATGATTAGAGTGTCTCTCTGTACTAGATATATTGTCTGCTAAATGTATCTGCCCAAATAAACCCATTCGCTGTGGAACCGCAATCAAGGGTTCCAAAACACTCAACAATGAAAAAACTGTCCCGGATTACGCACAGCGGTTCCTGCATGAGTTAGCCACGGCAATGAGCAAATGTCGATGATTTCAGCAAACGATACGCACATGATCGTTGAAACTCAGTTTCAAATCCAGATTTGGGCAATCGATTGTCATTAAACAGGTTTTAATAAAATTATTTTATGAACGAATAAGAAAACTCCGCCATGGCCGGTCCCAAGCCCGGATGAGAAAGGAGGAGGGTTGGAGACCGTGGCAAGTC